TCCGGCGGCTTCTTCCCCTCCAGCAAGAGCAACACCGGGAATGTCATGTCCAGGCCCCAGGCTCCCGCGGGGGTTGTTCCGTCCGCCGCGGAGTCGCGAGGCTGAGGAGGTCGGCGGGCAGGCCCTGAGGCGGAAACCGCTCCGTCCACGACGGGGCTCCTGCCGCCGCCATGTTGTTGGGTGCCCGGCACAGGCTGGGCCGCCTCCACGGCGGCAGGCAGCCCCTGCGTTTCCATCTTGGGGGTCCCTGTAGCAGCGGCTGAAACCGGAGCCGCGGGGGGCGGAGCCGAGGGAGCGGCACGGGAAACCCGGAGCGCGGATTGTTGGAAGGGGAAATGCGAGGAGCTCGGACTGCGCGGCAGGGTGGAAAACCTGGAGTGGGAGTGGTTGGTAAAGCAAGGGCGGAAGCAGACAGGAGGAGATGGTCTTGGGAGGAAAAGGGGATTCTGGCCGGATGGGCGAGGAGCAAACGAGAGGACGTAGTAGGAGATCTGAAGTAGGGACGGCTTGTGGATACAAATCGTGCGTTTGGTTTTTATCTCCGACTGTGCAGATTTATGGGTTGTTTCTTTTTTGGATTACGATCCTCAAAGTTGTACACGTTGGGTGCGGATTCTGGGAGCTGTAGTCCACAAACACAGATTTGCATACTTCTTGTTTCTTGTGTATGTAAATTTAAGTATGCTTAGACAATCCTGTTGAATTAAATGGGCCTCCCTTCAAGACCAACAACGAACAGGATTTTGCCAGATCATATATTGTTTTAATTTGTCTTTTAATGTTTAGCTTACTGTGTTTTTAACTATGTCAGTTTTAATGTTGTGGGCGGCTTTGGGTCCCTTGTCATCATCAATTCACGTGAAAATGCCAGAATTTTTAATGTTTAGCTTACTGTGTTTTTAACTGTGTCAGTTTTAATGTTGTGAGCCGCTTTGGGTCCCTTGTTGGGAGAAATGCGGCATCATCATCATAAATTCACGTGAAAATGCCAGAATCTCCTCTATGACTTATTTCCATGTGTATGCACTTCTGGGGTGGATTTCTGATGGACTTCACACTGGATGAACAAACTGGGGGTGGCTTTGCCTGGCAACACTCTTCTCGAACATTTTTGGCTTACAACTTTCATCACTGCAAATTATAATTAATTATTACTATTATCAGTAACATTTGAAGAGATTACAGTATAGAAAAAAGACTGAAATCAGAGGAAAAGACAGAAAGAAAGGGAACTGTGAGTCAAATATATAAATTATTAATTCAAGCTGAATAGGATAAACAAGGATTAAAAACACAGTGGCAATATCATTTGGATAATGAAGTAGTAGGTGAAGAATGGGATAAAATATGGGATCAAAGAATGATGAAGAACATGTCTGTAAGGATAAAAGAAAATTGTTATAAGGTAATATGGAGGTGGCATTTAATGCTGATAAAACTGAATATAATACATAAAAATGCATCATCACTATGCTGGAGGTTTAAAAAAGAGAAGGAGACATGTTGTGGTCATGTGAATTACGAAAGCAAGAATGGAAGCAAATTTTTAAAGAAATAAGGGAAATAACTGGATGAAATATTCAAATGTCCCCATCAATGGCTTTATTGAATTTGGTTAAGAAGGATCAATTGTTGAAAGAAAATAAGGACTTCATAGTAATAATGATTACACCAGCAAGGTTAATTTTTTTAAGAAACTGGAAAAATGATAACCAACTCAATTTAGAGGAATGGTATAGAGAATTATGGGATAAGGCAATTAATAATAAACTGATATGTGATATGAAAATAAGAAGAGGCCTATCAAAAAATAATGACTTTAAGAAAATATGGAGTGTATTCTTGGAATATGTATTTCGGAGAGGGAAGGGGTATACACCGAGGGAAGAAGCAATGAAGTTTTGGAGAGAAAATGGATTGAATGAAATTTAAGGCATTATTAATGCTTGCCCTGATGGTGATGGGTCACAGATGTAATATGTAATTGTATTGTATAGTGGTGGTAGATTTATGTTGTGTAGATTGTTAAAAAATTTTTTTAATAAATTAAAAAAATCAGTAACATTTCTATCCTGTCTTCCTCCCATGATGAAGTCAAGGTGGCATGTGTGTCTTCCTACTACGTACCACTTTGTTCTGACAATGATCTTGTGGTCCAAGCAATGGTGTAGTGGGGCCAGGTCGCTCAAGCTTGAAGTCCCAGGACTTGTTGAACAGCAGGCACTGTGACATTATTTGCCATCCCCCTGTCTCCCCCACCACCACCATACACACAGCTTCCTCTGAGCTTAGCTGACATCCTCGCAAGAGCCAGGGGGACAAAATTGTTGAACCTTATATTGTTTGTAATACAAAGTATTTGAGGGTGCTTTGATCTTGGCACCAACACATGTATAATTTAAGAGCCATTGATTTTACAAAACACCTGCTCCTTTTTAAAAAATATATAGGTCGATCCACTTTCCTATATTTTTGAACTTTCCTCAGGAGGGAGGGCTGGCTGTGGGGTTCTGTCATGATGATTACCTGACTTTGACGTTTACCACGACACCATTCTGGCAGACCAAGTGATTGGCCTAAAATCAGCCAGTGAGCTTCATCACTCAATTAGTCATCGGCGTGGGTCTCATTTCAGCAGTTTAACCACCACACTGGCCCACATAGAGGGCCATGTTTATTGATCTGTGGTCCTCCCAATGTTTGGTACTTCCCAGAAGCCCCAGCCAATGTGCTTTCTGATCTTTAGTCTTTGAGTGGAAATCCAAACCATCTGGAGAGCCAAAAGTTATGAACAGGGGGAGGCTTTCTATGACATTTCATAGTTTCTCTGCAACCTGTATTTGAACCCCCAAGCAAGCCACCCAGAGTGGTCAACCAGACCAGATGGGCGGGATATCAATCAAATAAGTAAGTAAGTACTATAAGTAAGTACTGTGAGTAAGTACTGTAAGTACTGCAAGTAAGTAAGTAAGTAAGTAAGTAAGTAAGTAAGTAAGTAAGTAAGTAAGTAAGTAAGTAAGTAAGTAATCTAGCCTTTCTCACCAGAACACTTATAAACATGTCTAAACCCACTTATAAGTTCAAACATAGGCTTTTGGAAAAAATATAACATCTCATAGAAATCCTCCCCTTAGTTATGAACCTGCGCTGTATAGATTCAGTGATTTTCAGGTTCCCAGATTTTGTTGCATTTGAACATGTGATCTGGGATTCTGAGGGCTGGTAGTCCAGCAATGTTTTGGTATCTTTGGACACCACCCAGTAAATCTTTTTCCCCATAGTAATGGTCTTTGACACTCTTCTCCTTACCCTAACGAAATTTGGTTTCTTTTGGGAATTTCTCCTGAAACAAATTACTCTACTGTATTACATTATGCTTGTGCCAGATAAACATGGCAACTCAGCCATATTGTAGCTGACATTCAACCCAATGACCTTTCTTCAACAATTATCAAAAGATCAGCAGTGTTGGTTGGTATACTGGAACACGGGCTGAAAGATGAAAATATTGGTCTTGCACTTTAATACAAACTTACAAATAATCCATTTGTTCTCCCATCCAAAAAATCCATTACAATTCATGCACAGGGAAAATGCATACAAAAAAGAGTGGTAGAATATACCAGATGGGCGGGAAATAAATAAATAAATAAATAAATAAATAAATAAATAAATAAATAGTGCACATTAGCAGCAGACGTAAAAAAAAGTGTACAAAACAATGTATTGAAGAGAACTGAAAAATACTGATTTTTTTCAGGACATTTTAATAAAATATTGTAGGCAGTTACAAAAACATTGTCCTTTAGAGATGGAAATTCAGTTGTGTAATCTGCACTGCATAAAACTGATGACATCAACCGCTGCTGTGATTTTTCAGAAA